CCAATTGAAGCATCTCAATGTATTCGTGATGATGTTTATTATACAACAATTAATGATCTTTGGATACAAAATCGACCTTGGACATCAAAAATGCGTGATCCAATTGATAATCAATCATTAATATATAAATGTGCTAAACATTTATTAAATTTATTTGGTTTTGATGGTGAAGTTCAATTAAATCCAGATAATCAACAACCAAATGATCATAATGTTATATCAGCAATGTGTTGTGCACAATTTTATGTTCGAAAAGAACGTATTCATCATTATACATATAAACAATGGTCATCAGTATATAATGCAAGTCTTCAACCATATTGTACGCATGTACTTGATAGAGAATTTCCAGGACGAATGGTGGGTGTAAAATATTTTGGAGGAAGTCTTGAATTTCTTTGGCATATTATTCTTGGACTTCATCCAGCATATATGTTACCACCAAGAACAAATACAAATACAGATTTATGTCATTTATTTTATCCATCATGTAGAGGATCTTTATGTAAAGAAACATATCTTAAATATTATGTTCATCCACATCCCAAATCATTTAATTCGACTTCACTAGAACAAACTTTGAAAGAATAATTAGCTATTTTTATTCACTATCAATATAAATGAGATTTTTCAAACTATTTTCTTTTTATATTTCTATAGTAATTTCAAATATGATCTATACAATGTTTTATGGATAAGAATAGATATTCTATTACTTACATCTATACCTGATTACTCATTTCCACTTAATTTATTCGAATACCTCAGCGTGAGGGAACGGCTAAGCGTCATATTCCAAGCTCAGACTCACACCCACACCTTTTGTTTCCAGCAATGTCTTTTTCGTCAGTTTTACCACCAAAACATTTTCAAGCACCTCTTTCTCTTTACATAAAACTTTTGAAGTCTTTAATTTTTTCAACAGTTGGATGGTGACTATTCCATGAATCCATTAATGTCTTAATTTTATAAATAATGAAAGCAATTTGTAGCACACCTACGACACCCTTCGCGAAGTTCCCAGCAACTGATTCCGCGTTGGCCAACTTTGGATTGTTTTAGTAGTTCCACCAATTCGGTCATTTTTACTGGAGTAAAACCAGGATGTGATCTGAATGAAATAGAATATCCACATTCTCTTTTCCGATATATCTTCATTTCAATATATAGTGATTGTTCTTCATCTATGGAGAAAGAAAATATTCAATCTGCTCATAAAAAAGCATGTGAAAAAAACATTGTATAGCAATTTCAAATAGTTAGTTAGCATTGATTCATCAGTTAACTCGATTATCTGCACTTACTGATGATTATTCATAAACATCAATAACAACCATTTTTTGCGGCACTCTTTTTCTTAACTGCGTCATCTACATACAATAATTTATTACATAGTGCAATGCTTGGTTTTGTTGATAAAAATTAGTTGAAACCTGTCATTTCTGATTCATCGACTTCGAGACCATTTGATTCAATCAGTAAGTCATCGCCTGGTACTTTATTATTACGTTACATATAATCGGATATGTGAAAATATTCAAAGTAATATTCTAAAATGAAATATATAGAAATTTCCTTAACTATATAACTGTTTATAACTGAATTAAAGAAGGTTTTTACTGTACGATACTATTGTATTGTCGAGATTTGAATCACACGACTAATTTTTTATTTTCAAAGTGAACACGTTTCATATTACATTTACCAGATTTAACTGGACATACATCACCAACTGGAATTTATTGAACTTTTCACAAATCATCTTAGTCACAAAATACTCTTTCACGTATGTCAATTTATTATATTATTGTGCACAAATTTTCACAACACAACGAAAAATGATAGGAACGCACATTTATTATGAAAAGCAGGCTTGTATAGTTAAAGTTAACATAATTAGTTTATAAAACATCATTGAAGAACGAACCGTTGCACCCTATTGTTATTATAGTCAGAAACATATAAATATGTTTCAGTAGGATCAAGTGCCACATCACCAGGAGACGAAAGAAGCGTACTGGTACTGCCCGCAACACCACTTGCACTGCCGGCTACAACCGATCCTTGTGTATCTCCAATATTCCATCGCATCACACGATTATTATTGCTATCAGCAATATAAAGAGTTTGACCATTTCGTGTCACCCAAACACCTGAAGGACCATTCAATTTGTTAAGACCCACTCCCGACGCACCACCACCTGCAACTGTTATTCCTGTTCCGTTGCCGCCTATCATAAATTTCTGAATGCGATTGTTATTACTGTCCGCGACATATAAGGCTCCCCGAACTTCATCTAAATGGATAAATCGAGGCCAATCTAATGCATTACTACCAGAACCAGAGTTTATGTTGTTTCCAGCAATATGAATACCAGTCGTACTATTTGGTGGCCATTTCACGATCGTACAACAAGCAGCCAATGATGCGTAAATATTACCGGATTGATCAGCTACTACACCAATAATTTTATATAACCCTGTCAGAGAACAGTTTGCGTTTGATCGACCTATTGATGGAAAACTTGTAAGATTCATTCCTGGTCGTTGAATGTACATCATACCGTCATTAGTGGTATATTCAGACATGTATATATTGTGTGAACTGTCAACAAATATATCCTCAGCCGCACCGAGTCCGTTAGAGAGAATCGTAGATCCAATGCGTGAGAATGGTAAAAATGATTGAAATCGTGGCACATCGTAATTGGCTACATATAGGATTCCATCGAATGGTGAAACATAGATACCCCAAGGACCCATTACACCAAGTGCACCTGCATCTGTACTACCATTGCAAAAACCAGCTACTGTCAAACCAATACCTGCGGTTGGAGCTACAATTACAAAGAAAGATTCAAGAATTATTCTTGTTTCATAAATTTCTTTAATATTTTTGAGATATTCGATCAATAGCATCATTAGTAGAAATATAGTTAAAAATGACTTACAAGCAGAGCATTGATAAGTAAAGTTACAGGTCGGTTGACATGAAAGATTGAGATCCGTCCGACAAGCATATGTATTTGAACATAGTTGACCTTGAAATAATTGTATCATACACATTTCATTGTTCCAATATGTAAATGGTGGACATTGACAAGTTGAACTGTTTACATTACATATTTCATAACGACTTTGATCACAATGATTGCATGACTGATTGTGAATGTTAACATAGTTATTAGGAGAGATTTGAACTGAACCAACAGATGATCGTGGTTTTGATGGTGAAGCAACAATCGAACCTGTTGTTGTATCCATTTCCCATAAACGACATTGTAGAGAATCAGCATCAAAATCAAATGTTCGACAAGTGATACGTTTGTTGC